TTAGGACGACCCTAAATATCACTTATCGTTAAGTTACAAAAGTTGGTAGACGGCATAGTACAGTGTTCTGCCAAACAAACACACGGAATATCAACGATAGCCCCCGCAGTGCGACAGGGGCAAAACCCAGCAAACGAAGTCACAGACGCATACAAGTTAGAGGAGACCGGGTGCCGGCTTTAGACACTCGAGTCAAGGAAACCGAGACTAGACACATTCATCCGCCAAGCGTAACTAACGTGGGGTTTTAGGTTTTCAAAACAACTAACGACACAACATCAGCTGCAGTTTCACATGCTCTCATTTATCTTCCAGTACAGTTCCCAGAGTATTAAAGTGCCTTCGTGCACTCTAGTTTCATCTGTTGTCAGGTGCAACGCATCCTATTTGGAAGTTACTTTGTAGGTCACTTTTTATTACAAAATCAAAGGACTATTGGAACCAATGTACACGATGCTAACTAAGGGGGTTTTAAAGTACCTTTGCCCCGAGGACTGCTGCTGCATGTCATTAAACCCCGAACACACAGGGCCCGTCTCCACTAAATAAGACTACAGTAAAAGGTGTTTCTTGGAAGTGCTTTCTGCTGTACAATCCTTAACGTTCCTTGCCTTTCCCCCTCTCAAACCCTGCTCTGTTACGCACGTCTTTGGGCGACAGCCTTCCCTGCAGCTTCCGCGCACAGACTGCCGCGAAGGTGGAAACTGGGCAGCACGTGGCTGCGTAGCGGCGACGTCCTACAACGCTCTGTGGTAACTCCATCGATACACGCAGCATACTCTCCCTCCAGATACTTGAAGACTCGCGGCCTTCGGATCTTACCTGCAGCCGTTACCTGCGCTGCAAAGCCGCCCAGATGTCCTACTCTGGGCTATGAACTTTCACCTCCTCCTGCTACGCTACCTTCCGAAACCCAAACCTCAGTACCAACTGCAGTAAGGCAAGGAAAACCTCGTGTGGTTTACCAGTCACTCACCTCGCCCCCAAAACACCCTCTTCAGAACACAGCTAAAGAAGTTTCTGAAACCTGCGATCCAGTCTCCCATCGACATGCGCTCTCCGCCGGCACTCCACTCCTACTCTTTCACAGGAAAGGGTGCCAAAGGGAAAGTGCCTTTCCCACATCTGAGCCCTTTCGACGGCGCTTTGCAATACCTGCACTTTCAGCGTGGTTGTGGGGTGTAAGTTTTTTTAGGGAGTAACAATCTCACTTCAAACCATCCCACAGTAATGTGACAGGAGGTTTCCAGTGGCAAGGGCTGACGAAGGCACTCAGGAGGAAAGGTTACTTGGAGAGAAAAAAAGGGAAATTAGGAGAGGGAACGAACACCTAACGGTAACTTTAAACGCAGATGTGGATGCGAGTCCGTACCCTTCCAATGGCTGCCTTCCTGTACTTGATTGTACTTCACATCAAGAAGTGAGAAAGCAATTGAAGTGACACAGTTCAGGCTGCCAACAGCCCCACCTGACCCGGCCAGCGCAAGGGGATGCCTCCCCTTCCCCACCGTCCCGCTACATGCGAAAAGGCCGCTTTAAATCTGGTGCCACCCAGGCTGGGATCGGCGAGAGCTCTCCAGAGGTGAGCAAGTTTTGCCGGGGCTCTAGATGTACCCTATGCTACCGTTACGTAAAATATCACGTGCACTGGAGTATTTCAGAAACAGATGTGCTCTGTTAATCAAACTAAAGGGAATTAGCAATTTCCTAATCTCCTGAGTCCTTTAAAAGTTCGGCATGGAACGGTAGGGTTATGGACAGGAACGGTCTGACTATGCACTACAGCAGGAAAAATGGAAAACAGTACAAGTTTCATGTGAATCACAACCATATGTAAAGTTTCCGGCTGAGTTCATAAAATGATTAAAATATTTGAAACATTCCGTAATGGTATAATAATTTCCAATGTAATTTATGCCACAAATTCCACCCTTATCCAAAAATACCTTGTATGTAAATGCTTTTTTATAAAACTTTATACAATTCAAGCTCTCGTCAGGTAAGCCTACACACAACTCTCACAATCCCCTAGGCAGAAAGAGTTCAGGAAGGTACATTCCCCGAGTGCGCGACCGACAAGGGATCTTCTTCCATGGATCTGCCCTTCTGGCCAGCGAGTCGGCGAAATCAAACTCTTATTGCTTAGAAATCAAACCAGGTGGGCCTCGTCGGCACCAAGAGCGCTCGGCTATACCGCACCAGGCTGGGGAAGGGACCTGCTCCCAGTTTTACAGGACAGAAATGCCTTGTTACCTCTTCCGTAAAGACTTCCGGGTAACCGCCGCCTGTCCTGTACGCTTCGTTCGGGGACCAAAGGAGGAGGGAATCGATGGCAATGCATGCAGTTAGCGACCAGCGTCTCCCTCTTCATTTCCTAATTAATTCTGTCATCTGCTTCGTGAACTTCTGCAGACAGATCTCCAACTCTAGCTGAAAACAATCCGATCAGATACAAGACGCTACAAACACCGGATCGAAAAATGTGCAAGAACACTGTGAATACGAGGCCTTGGCAGGCATAAATTCACAGCGGGTACAATGGCAAAACACCTTCACGGCAAGCTTTATTTGCAAGGCTGCCAATTAAAAATACCGCTGTCTCTCAAGCTACATGTTCAATTAACAGAAATACATCCATAGTAACTACCGGTAAAAAAAAACATGATTAAATTACTTTATTTTAATTCAAAATATTCTGACGGTTTAACAACATCCCAGGTGCATTACAAACACTGCCATAGTCAACACAACAATTGGTACTTAAAGAGCATTCAAACACGGAAGACGTAGACCTGGAAGCAGGGACAGGAGAACGCACTTATACTAAAAGCATACAGATCATTTTCTGGTAATCGACCCCTTTGAGGCAGAAGTCTTGATTTCTCCGGCACAAAATGGATTAAAATCCAGAAGAGATGAGTTACAGAGGACAAGAATTCAGATGTGTGAATGTTTCCCCTCGTATCTGCTGTAAAACCCCGTGGATTTATAACACAAGGCCACTGCCAGCCCCGACTACGCTCGCGTTGACCATTTACAGGACAGAACAACAAAATCGTATCAGAGAAACCAGCGTCGAAGCAAACAAACCCACAAACTCTTCCTAGAATATGGCTTGAATTAGTTCACAGAGAGTTGGGAATATTTTAACTACA